TGGCTATTAGGTGAGCACATGGGGACACATCAGAGCTGGGATGCTGGGGAAGATGTGGTCTCTGAGATGACTAATACCGCATGGTCTAGGATCACCTATTCTCCTTGTGCTTCACAGATCATTCTGGCCCATTCACACTTCATACTAGGTCAATGCCCTGGCCTTCAACCTGTGTGGGAAGCAGGAGCACCCTCTCATTAAATACTGTGGGCTCTAGCATGTGGTCATGCGCATGGGCGATAACAACACTCCTTGGCTTCACATCCCATCTCTTGTTCACGCGATGCCTGTGGTGAATCTGAGATGTATGAGTTCTACACAGTCCCCCACGATGTCCCCTTGCCAATAGTCTCCAACCAGCCACAGTGATATCAATGCCCTGAACAGAATGCCGTCCCCATATGTCTCATGCCCCGCCCCCCCCCCAGACCCCTTACAGACGCAGACTGGGCTTCCTTCTCAAGTAAGCTACTTGTAGTCACAGTCACAGGTTCACCTCCAGGGCTGCTTCCTGTCAACTCACACTTGGCACCTGGCATGCTGATCCCCCACACTGAAGTAAAATTCCATGCTCTGTGGTACTGGGCACCAACCCTCGACAGAGAGGCTCCCCACCATTCTTTGTCTCCTGCACCTGATGCCTCATGACCCTCCTTTTTCTCTTCCTCCATTGATGAACTGTGTCAGGAATACAGAAATGAACAGGCAACAGCAAAAGGAATGCCTCTCTACCCAATTCCCAGCTGAGGATATGAAACTTCCAACAGAAGGACTCTACTGGTCCCTGAAATCAGTGCTACTCTGAGTCTGGACTTCTTTCTTCCCATATCTGTGTGGCTGGCGCATAGAAAAGCACAGGCTGAAACCAAATAGTTTTGTCCCATGACATCACAGTGCCCCAGTCATGTCCATCTGCTGGGTTCCTTCTTCGCCATGGCTCACTATCAATCAGACGTTTGGCATCACTTTCAAGCTTTACCATGCCTTTGGTGGCCTTGAACCCAGTGAGTGAGTATTCAGTCCTCTCTCTGTCCTGTCCAAGGTGAGGATCACAGCTCTCCTCTCTCAGGGTTGCAGTTTCTCACTTCCTTCCACTGAGGAAGCCTGCAGTGGGAAAGGCAGTGAGCTGTGCTCTGATCCTTCCACCTGGACGTGGTCCCATCTTCCCTCCACCCCTTCTGTAGTCTTGTTATGCAGGGTCCGTTGAACAGGGGATAGACACAGATCAGACTCAGTGATCCTTGTCTGAATGGAGTTCAGAAGCTCTGTTCATGGCATTTCTTCCTCTTCTGGGGACTGACTACCTTCATACCTACTTTGGAGGACACATCATTGAGTGTGCACCTTCCGCTGTCCCAGACACATGGCCTCCATACTGATGTCTTAAGAGAACTCCCTCCCGCCTCCAGTCACTACCGCTTACGTGTGATTTGGACTCCTTCCCACTGATTCCACCAAACTTGCAGGGTGACAAATGAAGCCCCAACTCCACCCCATGGCCACTAGTGGCCTTTTGGAAGCCCTGTCCCTAGTAATTTGGAGGTGGAGGTTATTTCCACAGGCCCGATCAGCCAACCTTAAGGTGCTCTGAACATGACCCACCCTTGGCTTCCAATCCCCACACTTTGCAATGTTAGTATCCACCTTCTTAAGGGTTGGTGGCCAAAGCTCACATGCCTGTGGCCCTGGAGTAGCACCCAGATGTGTCACGAGTACAAAGTCTATGAGAAATGAAAAATGTCAAAGACAAAGAAATGAAAACTCAGTTTCTGTTTTAATGGTTGCGTCAGGGAAGGATTTGTTTAGCCACAGCATTTTCCTGGGCTTCTCATCAACCTCAGGGAACTTGAGTGCGGGAGTCACGTGGTGTTTGGGCGTTGGCCAACTCCACCCTGGTATGGCTTGGGTCAGTTTCCACAGCCACTGTGCCAGGTGCATATGACTTCTGTAACTCCCCAGTTGTCTACCTAGTAAAACGCTCAGCAGGGATTGAGAGGCCAGGTTGAGTTTCAGGTATTCATCTGCCTTTCTCTTGAGTCTTGTGGGGCTAGTGCTGGAACTGACTTCACAGTGCTGTTTATCTGTGATCACTGGCCTCCACAGATGGCTGCAGAAACAAGTCACAAGAAAGAATACCTGTCAGCATGGCTGGAGTCCAGAATTATCTTTAGGAGAAACCCCAAATGGCCCAGAAAACTCTAGACATGTATGCCTACACACACACACAC